CTCCATCTCAATAAAAATAAAAACTAAAAATAAAAAATAAATAACCCAAAAGACTTATGGTTGTGTTCAACTCTAAGTATCAGCTGTATGAAATTTTGTTTTTAATTGGGAAAAAATTCAACATCCACTGATTCAGACCCTGGAAGACACAGAGCCATTTGTTTAATTATTTGTCGTGTGGTTGGGTACAGTGGTCAATATTGAGGGCAAAGTTTAAACTCAGTTCTCTGCTTTCCTCAGCAGCAGAGAGATAAAGGATGAGTACATGGGGGCTGACGCCCCGCCCATGTCCACAGACCACAGTGCAGAGAACACCATTTCAAGAATCCAGGCCAGGCGCAGTGGCTCATGCCTATAATCCCAGCACTCTGGGAGGCCGAGGTGGGTGGATCATGAGGTCAGGCATTCGAGATCAGCCTAGCCAACATAGTGAAACCCTGTCTCTACTAAAAATACAAAAAATTAGCCGGGTGTGGTAGCGAGCACCTGTAATCCCAGCTACTCGGGAGACTGAGGCAGGAGAATTGCTGGAACCTGGGAGGAGGAGGTTGCAGTGAGCCAAGATCACACCACTGCACTCCAGCCTGGGCAACAGTGTGAGACTCTATCTCAAAAAAAAAAAAAAAAAGAATCTAGTGAAGACTATCAAGTCCAACTCCTTTGTATACATGGGAAAACAGTCCGAGTCAGTAACCCCCGCATCAGGATCTCTTAGCAGAGAAATCCTGTTTATTGTTACTGGACAACACTTGGAAAAATGTTAAAAGATTTCAAACAGGGGCTGAAATAAAAGCAATTTCAGATTAACTCTTGTTATCCAGAAAGTAAATCATCCAGAACTTGCCTTCTGCCACACCATGCCAGTTACTGATATTTCGCTCTGCGTGTGTCCAAGAGTGTGTGTATATTGTGTGTGTGCGTGTGTGTGGACACACCGAGGACTGGAGGTGGCTGAGAGTCTCCCTGAGCTCCTGCTGTCTCATCCAGTAACAGCAAGTGCACGAGCTGAGAGTCAGAAGGCACGCATTCTAGTTCTGGCTCTTCTAAGAACTCCCTGTGTGACTCTAAGCAAGTCATTCACCTCTCTGGGCCTTTGCATTCGAAAAATGAAGCAGCTGCTTTAGATTATCAGTAAAGATTCTTCAGGTCTCTCTGTCTCTGTCTCTGAGTTCAGATTTTATACCCAAAGCATACAACAGAGCTTTTTGGTGGCCTGGTGGGTTTCCAAAGTATTACAACATGTATTTTCTTTTCTTTCTTTTTATTTTTTGAGACAGAATCTTGCTTTGTTGCCTAGGCTGGAGTGTAGTGGCGTGATCTTGGCTCACTGCAACCTCCACCTGGCAGGTTCAAGCAAATCTCCTTCCTCAGCATCCCAAGTAGCTGGGATTACAGGCGCACACCATGACACCCAGCTAATTTTTGTATTTTCAGTAGAGACAGGATTTCATCAGATTGGCCAGGCTGGTCTTGAACCCCTGACCTCAAGTGATTGACTGGCCTCGGCCTCCCAAAATGCTGGGATTACAGGCGTGAGCCACTGCACCCAGTCAATATATTTCTAATAAGAAGAACTGGTCATGTTTACTTCCCACTTAGAAACTCTTCCAGAACTCACCAGGATAAAGTCAACCTGCAGCTACAACACACGAGGCCCCATAAGCTCCGGTTCCTGATCATGCCTTCTGCCTCATCCTTCACCCCTTCCTGCCTCTGGGACCCCAATTCTGCCAAACTGAATGATGCTCTTCCACATCTCAGACCTTTGTTGCTCCTCCCTTCTGCCCTGCCCTGCTCCCCATATACCCCTTCCTCACCCACTCCAAGGTTTCACTGCCCCTAGACAATGAGCTTACCAACTTCTCCTCCAGGAAGCTTTCCCTCGGCCACCTCCTTACCCTACTCTTGACAGGGCTCCTTCCCCAATGCCCTCTGCTTCCTTGACACAACACCATCTCTCACTCAGGGTTAAGAGGCTTTCCAGGGCAGAGGCCTATGCTGTTTATTTCTGTATTGTTAGTACCTATGATTTCAGGGGACTTTAGGTTAATGTGTTGAAAGTCAACTCTATTTTGTAACTAGATTTTTCTTTTGCTTCAGTTTCCTCCTCTTGCCATTAAAAATCATTTATTTATTTATTTATTTTTGAGACAGTGTCTTTCTCTGTCACCTAGGCTGGAATGCACAGGTGTGAACATGGCTCACTGCATCCTCAACTCCTGGGCTCCAGTAACCCCAGTCAGCCTCCTGAGTAGCTGGGACAGGTGCACACCAGCTCACCCCAATAATTTTTAAATATTTTGCAGGGACAGGGCTCCACTATGTTGCACAGGCTGTTCTTGAACTGCTGGGCTCAAGCAATCCTCCCACTTGGCTGCTCACAGTGCAGGGTTTGCAGGCGTGGCCTCTGCACCTGGTCACTCTTAATATTTTATAGTCTCAGCTGCAGCAGCAGGGAGCAGAAACAAATTGAACAGTCTATTTTATTTTATTTCAAGACAGGGTCTTGCTCTGTCACCCAGGCTAGAGTGCAGTGGTGTGATCTCAGCTCACTGCAACCTCCGCCTCCTGGGTTCAAGTGATGAGATTACAGACGCCTGCCACCATGCCCGGCTGATTTTTGTATTTTTAATAGAGATGGGGTTTCACCATGTTAGCCAGGTTGGTCTCAAACTCCTGACCTCAAGTGATCCAACCGCCTTGGCCTCCCAAAGTGTTGGAATTACAGGTGTGAGCCACTGTGCCTGGCCCAAATTGAACAGTCTTTAAAATGTAAACCGGCTCCCTGAAAGTGGACAGTTAGGTGATGCAAGTACATTCCGTGAACTGGCCATGAGGCAAGCTGGCTTTCAGGGAACTGATCTGCAGATGATTGGCATTCAGCAATTTGGCCTGATTCTGTTACAGTGCTTGGCTCATGGGCATGTGATAAGTTAGTTATTACCATTGCTCTTATTACCAGAGGAATTAGTTGAATAAACTGAGGTCATTTGTGCACTGTGGTTTAAAATTATGAATGAACAACAACGAAAAAGAAGCTCCTGCCTTCCCCTCTGAAACACTCTTCCCTTTTTCCTTGCCAAGCTACAAAAATGTTACTCATTCTTCAAGGCCTAGATCCAGAGCCACCTCCTACAGGAAACCTTCCAAGTCCTGCAGGCAAAAGTTCTGTTTTTTTACAGCCTCCTCCATTTCACTTCTATGGAATTGTAAACTCCTCACGTGCACACGCTCATAGGCACATGAAATTCCAGGAGGAGGATATAGTATTCAGGTTTCCCAAACTACTTTGACCGGGGAACACTACATAGTAAAGCATATCTGTGGAATTTAGGTTTTAAAGAACACGCTTTGAAGAGCTCAGGATAGGCTGGGCACAGTGGCTCATGCCTGTAATCCCAGCATTTTGGAGGGCCAATGTTGGTGGATCACTTGAGTCTAGGAGTTCAAGACCAGCCTGGGCAACATGGTGAAACCCCCACCTCTACAAAAATTACAAAAACTAGCTGAATATTGTGGTATGCACTTGTAGTCCCAGGTACTAGGGAGGCTAAGGTGGGAGGATGGCTGGGAAGTCAAGGGTGCACCACTACACTCCAGTCTGGGCAACAGAGTGAGACCCTGTCTCAAAAAAAAATTTTTTTTTTTACAAAGTAAAAGAAGAACAAGAAAAGCAAGGGATAAACCAACTGCCTCAGGTGCCTTCTCTACCTGCTGCATCTAGGCCCTGGGCCAAGCATGCTGAGGAATCCAGAGATAAATCAGACACACGCCCTTTCCTGAGGCTCCCCATTGGGCAAGGAAATAAGACTTGTGCTTAGGTAGCCAGGTGCTAGGCAGAAAGCAGCAGTGTCCAAGGAGAGGCGAAGACAGAGAGCCATGAGCCGAAGGGAGAGAGCGCATGCCTAGCTGTAGGGAGCTGAGGTGGCTTCACGGAGGAGGCGGCAGCAAGAGAGCTGGACCTGCGTGAATGAGGGGGATTTGGACTGTTGGCGATGGAGTGGGGAAAGGCATTCCTGACCAGCCAACGAAACCAGCAAAGGCAAAGACAAGGGAAGGTACAAGAGATGTGCAAGGCCCAACAGTTTGTCCAGAAGAAATGAGTGTGAGGAAGCTTGGAGGTAGTATTGGGAGGAAAAGCTGGAGCCTGACCAGGGAGGACCCGTCCAAGGCTGAGCCTGGGCTTCATCCTAAATGCAGAGGGAGCTGCTGAAAGTGGTTGAGCTGGGATGTACTCACAGAAGAGTGATCCCGCAGCCATTCACAAGCTGGGCTGGCTGAGTGGGCAAGTTGGGGAGATGGGAGTTCTGGCAGGAAGAGAAGCTGGAAGGACAAAAAAGAGAAAACTGAGTGGAGAGGCACAGAACTCAAGTAGATGAAACTGGTTTGCCTGGACTGGGGAGTGGGTGGAGTTAGAGAGAGAACGAGAGATCTTTAACAAGTATTTACTGAGCAGCTTCCATGTGCCAGCATCAGGTATGGATGGAATCGTGGGTTAGAGCAATGGTCTCGACCTGCATTGAGTTTGCAGGCTAGTGAGGGAAACAGAATCCCAGCCAGCTTACATAATTATAAACTGTGACACGTGTAATAAAGAAAAGTTCAGGATGCTAAACAGGCAGATGAGAGGGGGTAGCCTAGTCTGGGGGAATTGGGCTTGGCTTCTCGAAAGAAGTGTGATTGAGCAGCAGTCTGAAGATTGAACAGAAGTTAACTAGGCAGAGAGGTGGGCAAAGAGCAGCCCAGGCAGATCAGCCTGTGCAGTAAGAGCAGGGTTCCAGGGGCTGAAATGTCCCTGGTTCGTGATGTGAGTGCCTGGGAAGGCGGTAATGTTACGTAGAGAAACAGAATCGACAAGAAGTCCTAGTCTCAGGAAGAGGACAAGTTCCACAAGGAGCAGCAAGAGTATTAGGAGAATTCAGGACTTTCCAACCCATCTCCTCATCCCCCTCTATCCATGCTATTTCAAGCACCCCGCAAGTGGGTAGAAGCCTCCTGACCTTGCATAAAGTCCCAAATGTTGCACCTCTGTCCTGAGAGGTGGACCACTGGGCAGTTTGGGGCCAGACCCCCTAGCTCAGCTGTGTCCTCTAGTCGCTGCCAACGGACCTTCAGGACGAACCAGAAATACTGGGTGCTGAAAAAGGTCGGGATCCAGTTGTCGTGGCTGAAGTTTGGGTTCCTGGTCATACCCGTCTTGTCGCCCATGGCTAGTATGTTCTTCTTGACTCTGTCTGGAAACAATGTCAGAAGCAGTTTGCCCACAGCCACATGCACAGCCACCTCCAAGAGCACCCAGAGCCTCTTCAGCCACAGCCCTGGCCCAGGCAGCCCCATCTCGGCACAGCCAGAGTAAGCTCTGAGACCTACGGCAGAGAGGCTGCAGCCAGGCGACGCTGGGCGGAGCTGAATGAAGGTACAGGGTAGGGGCAGCCAACCCGGGCCAGGGGAAGGAGTCAGGTCAGAAGATGTTTGCCTTTCTGTCATGAGACAGAAAATTCCTAACCAGGTGCACAAAGGTCTGTTCTAATCATGATCATTTCCCATTGTTTGCCTTAACTTTAGAGAGATTCTTGGATTGGTAGATTCCACATCTTAAATTCTCCCTCTGATTAATGTTTAAAAAACAAATACTTAAAAAGACCACACTTAAAGAGACCCTGTTAGAGGCTCTCCTGCAAGCCAGTAGGCTTGCATGTTAACAAAGTCTTCTTTTACTAATGAAAGATGTTTCCCCATGATGACTTCTAGTTGTTGGTTGACTATTTCTAAAGTCAAAGCCCTCCCCAGGAGATAGGGATCTGAAACCTCCCAGGGCAAAGACAGAAACGGGATCATCCCTAACAAAACCTGGGGCCTGTGACTCCCCTTAGCACTGGGGATGGAGTGATAAATAAAACACCCTCTGTTCTCAAGGAAGTCATGGTCCAGTGCAGGGAATAGACAAGTAAACAGAAAAACTACCATTTCCTATATGAAGTCCAGAGGTGGAGAGTGTGTGTGGGGTACGAGAGCATGGAGAAGGGGAAGCTAATTCTGGTTGGAGAAGTCAAGAGGACTTCACTGAGGAAGTGATTTCTCTTTTTGTGTGTGTGTGAGATGGAGCCTCGCACTGTCACCCAGGCTGGAGTGCAGTGGTGCAATCTCGGCTCACTGCAACCTCTGCCTCTTGGATTCAAGCAATTCTCTGCCTCAGCCTCCTGAGTAGCTGGGATTAGATTACAGGCGCCCATGATCACGCCCAGCTAATTTTTGTATTTTTAATAGAAATGGGGTTTCACCATCTTGCCCAGGCTGGTCTTGAATTCCTGACCTAGCAATCCACCTGCCTCAGTCTCCCAAAGTGCTGGGATTTCAGATGTGAGCCACCACACCCAGCCTGAGGAAGTGATTTCTATGCTGAAACCAGAAAGATGGCAAGCAGTCAGCTGGCCAAAGCGGGGATATGTCCTGATGGAGGGAACCACATGGCCAAAGGCCCAGAAGCCAGAGACAGCATAGCTCATTGGAGAAACTGAAAGAAGAATCATGGAGCTCAGAGTTGAAAAGTGTTTTAAAATACACCCAAGACCTTTTTTTGTTTTGTGTTTTGTTTTTGTTTTTGTTTTTTAACAATTGAGATGGGGTTTCCTCACTCTGTCACTGGGCTGGAGGGCAGTGGTGCGATCATACCTCACTGTAGCCTCGAACTCCTGGGCTCAAGCAATCATCCTTCCTTGGCCTCCCAAAATGCTGGGATTATGGGAATGAGCCACCATGCCCAGCCCCCAACTTCTTAAAGTAATCAGGGCTGATTATACCCTACCACGTGGCACTCTTTTATTTAATTTATTTATATGTTTATTTTTGAGATGGAGTCTCACTGTTGCCCAGGCTGGAGTGCAATGGGTCAGTCTCAGCTCACTGCAACCTCTACCTCCCAGGTTCAAGCAATTCTGCCTCAGCCTCCCGAGTAGCTGGGATTACAGGCTGTGCCACCACGCCCAGCTAATTTTTGTGTTTTTAGTAGAGATGGGATTTCGCCATGTTGGCCTGGCTGGTCTCGAGCTCCTGACCTCAGGTGATTTGCCTACCTTGGCCTCCAAAAATGCTGGGATTACAGGCGTGAGCCGCCACGCACGGCCGGCACTCTTTTCTTTACCTGCTGGTGCGGTGGTATGAAAAGCCAAAAATGTCTAGGTGGCAGTTATAGCTTCCAATTGGAACTGTAACTGGAGTGGAAGTGTTCTCTCTTCTCCTCCCCTGCTTCCCTGGGACCAGGGTTTCCAACTAAGCAGAACTTAAACTTGTGAGGCAGGAAGGACACATTCTGTGTAAGTTTCACTGAAAGTGATGGTGAGAAGTGCCACCCCTTGGTTCGCAAATCTATACATGCTAGATATTTAGAACAAAGCATCATTATAAATAATTGATAAACCAGTGGCTTAGTGTATGTACTACATGCCGGAGGACAATGCCCCAGTCTCCTGAGTGTTTTCCCCAAGGTGGAGCCTTAACTGTGCCTTTAACAAGCCATTCCACCATCCTATTAGGTCACCTACTTCTGGATGACCAAGTCACATGGTAAGACCAAAGGGTTCCATGCTCTGTCACTGTTGCATGTTTTTTTTTTTTTTTTACAACTAAATTGGTCCCTTAGTCTGAAGCAATGTTGTGAAGGTAATTATTACAGGATCTCTAAGCAAAGTCCTCTTACTGCCACTGTGAAAGATCCAAAGGCAACTGGAAACAAGGAATGGTCAAGTCTCAGGCTTTTCCACCCAAATATCCTCATCCCACTTCTCAGGGTCCCATTCATTATCTGTCAATGCCCCAGCTTTGATGGAGGAGACCTACAGAGGCTGCGCATTCAGTGTTAATTGAAACTTTGCCACTCTTACAATTAGATCTTGGGCCTGATTTTCAGTCCAGTCTTTCTCAAGTCTATAGAAGAATAAGAATCTCCTTCAAAGCTGCCATAGAGGCTCTCTAGCTTTCACCAAGTGCCTCAAGTTGACAGTCGGCTGTTCTGACTCTGTCATTTTATTTACAAGGGTTCTAATGGAGTTAAGAAAATCCAGTCCATTCCATAGTCCTTATAATTACCATTGTCCTCTTACTGTTCCAGTGCCACAGCCACTAGATAACTCAGCACCTTAAAAGTCTTCTACCTGCACCTTATCCCAATCAACTATAGGCAGACAGCTTAGTAATTATGCTGCCATTCTATTGTAAATGTTACCACTCCACCACCCTCCCTTCCCTCTCCCTTTATCACCAGCAATGTATTTGTTGTTGCCACATGACTAGTGAGCAGTTCAGTTAGGAAATGCCAACTTGAGGTTCTGTTTTCTGGGCCCACTTTTGGTACCAACATGCCTTCTTGTTGGTTCCTCATATGAGTAGTTTATTGGCAAGTATGAATCCAAGGACCAGGAGTGAAGGACAGGGCTTGTAAATCAGGGAAGGAAGGAGAGCCAATGCGAGGATGCCTTGTCAAATTGGTCCCTTCGAAGGCATTTGGTTGCTTAATCCTGCTAGGTAGTTTGAGAGCTAAATGAAAGGGCGCCTGTCTGAGAGGGAAAAAGGAAACACATATATTCATCAATTGTTGACCCCATTGGTCAGAGATTTGCCCCATGAGACATTAACTCTCTACCCCTATACTTCTGGGTACTGAGTGGTTCCAGCAAGGTCCCATGACCCCACAGCATCAAGAAACAAGACTCGAAGCAGAAGGTGAGAAGCCTGAAGCATAGGCTGGAGGCAAAGTTCAGTCAAGTTATATCTGCTGACGCTGGAATACGATGAGTGGCGGTGAAATAAGCAGCAGGTGAGGCCAAGATGATCTGAAATGGGACATAAGAGGTGGCTGATATCCTTGCATAGCTGATTCACGAACTGAGATTCATTCCTGGTACATACTCAACCAAAAGCACCCTGTACATGCTCTAAGCCTCAGCTTTCGCTTTGTAAAATGAGAATACTCATCCCAAGATAGCAGGATTGTTCTGAGAATTAGAGATCCTGCATATACAAAGCCTGATCATGATAACCTTGAAAAAAAATACACTGTATTTGGCTGTTATTAGATATAAAGTCTTCTAATTGCCCACTTACTGGGGGAGCTTATATGAACAGACATCGCGCTTTCGACACTCATTCAGAATGTAATCAACTCATGCACTTTCTCACCAGTTAAATTTTTATGGCCCCCCAAAAACTGGGGGACTGGCGACGCGGGTGACTTATTTTTTCCTTTCACTGTCGTCTTTCATTACTCGATTTTATATTTTCATAGGAAAAGAGGTATAAACACACAGTAAGAATATCCTACGCTCGATAATTTTCTGCGTTCCCCGAAGCAAGTAGTCACACTCAGCGACCGCACCACTCCGCCCTCGCCTGTCTCTTCAAGAACCCGAGGCTCACCCTCGGGAGGGAGCAGACTCCGCGCGCCGCGGCACGCAGGTGTCCCGGGAGCCGCTGCCTCTTTAAGGAGGCGGGGCTCTTCCCGGAGGAGGCGGAGAAGTTCCACCCCCCGGATCTCCGGCTTCCGGCAACTGGGCTGGACCGGAACCGGCGCGGAGCATCTGAGGCCCGAGCCTTCCCAGGACCCGCTGGACGCCCAGCCCCGCGAGGTGAGGCGGCCGGGTTTGCGGGACCTGTATGGGGCTGAGGGGTCTCGGGATCTCCTGCCCGCCCGGGCCGCCGCGGCCCAGTTCCTCTCCCTAAAACACTGCCTTTTCTTCGCGGTGTCCCAGGCTGCAGGGTCGCCGACACCCCATTGCCTACTAATTGCCTGGCTCCGCGCTAGGCGCCTTACACACACTGTCCCATTTAATGGCCCCCGCACTGTGTGACGAGGTACTGTTATGCACCCATTTTGCAGATGAGGAAACTGAGGCCCCGAGGAGCTCGCACACAGCAGAGAAGCAGCGGAATCGGGAATCAAACCCAGCTCTGTCTGACCCCAGAGCCTGTGCCCTTAACCACTGGCTGGGCTGAACTGCCTTTGTTCTTCACTGTCCCCATCACCTGTCTCAAACCTCAGCCTCTCCTTCCTCATCGTTACATCTCTAGGCTGCACCTGGTCTCCAAACATTCACACAGTGGGTTGAGATTCATTCCTGGTACATACACAACCAATAAGGTTGAATCGGAACCTTTGGACTCCCGGGTTAGTTTCTTTGTAAGTTTTAGTATTTAATAATACCTGACGCTTAGTGGTTGTCTTTATATAAACCTATCAAACCCCACTGAAAAGAGAAGCAAGGGAAAGCGATACCATTTCTAATACAGAAATAAGATTTGTTTGCAGATATTTTATACTGTTATCCTACTACGTTCACTTATTTTTTTCTTTTAGACCCCTGCAAATTTTCTTCCTCATAATTGGGAGAAGACTT